ATTTTTCACCGGCAGATTTCTACAAAAGTAACATCAATCACGATTGTGTTGCGTTACAAATTAAAGTTATAAAACGAAATCGTATTTAGTATTGAAGTTGTAGCCTGTAATGTAGTCAAATCAAAAAGTGACAATAAAATTGCTTTCCGCCAAAGTCGATCAATCATATCATTTCCACGCGCACGAGGTGGGTCGGGCTCACCAAAAATAGCACGACATTCAGCAATAACAACAGCTACCACCTGGTTTGGAATACGTATATAATAAAGGGGAGGTGCGGGCGGAACGCGCGAGGAAAATCAATAAAGCGGGCGACGAGCATCAAAACATACTTCTCCCTCTCCCGCTGCCATCACCCCTTAAAGCCTCCCCGTCTCCCGGGGAAACCCTCCCCCTTGTTTGGCAGACACCGTCCTTGATCTCCCTACTTCGCCCGGGCGTAACTTTGGATAAACACCCGTATCGTCTCAGTCGAAATTGGGTCGGATGCGTTTGGGTTTCTCACTTCGACTCCTTATATCGATTCAGCGAACTCTCTTCCATCGACTAAGTAATAAGATTGAAAATGTTGAAAGCAATGTTCTAATCATACTAACTTTGGCAGTAAAATTTATAGAGGTGATAACAATCCGCGTAAAGACAGAAATGAGCACTTTCGCATTCATTCAAACATCATTGGTTTAAAATAACGAAGTCTTTTCTTTCTTTAACAATAACAACATACATATTTTATTCACTCAGATATCGTATTTCTTTGTTCTCGTCACATCGATCTTTTGAAAACACGCCTTCAGGCTTTCACGAAAAAAACAAAATGCTAGCAAAGAACTTCTAAGAAAAAACCAAACAAATATACGCAGGGAGAAGGATTAAATCTTCCACGTGCCTGCCGATAAGTCTTTACTTAGCTCATTGTGTTCTCTAAAGGAATTCATAAGTAGATACAAATGTTACATATATTTTGGACTTCGTTTTAGTGAATAGTTGACAACACTGTTGTCTAACCCTAAAGAACAAAATGTTAAACCTTTGCAGATGTGAAATAATTTTATCCAGCTCGTTTCGAAAATAGCAGACAAAGATAGAAGCGTACTTTTGGCAATTAGTGCCATTTGGCAATTTAACTGCCTCCGTGGCCGAACGGTTACCATGCCGGACTGCCACGCAGAGGTCCCAGGTTCGATTCCCGGGCCGGGAGAAATGTTTGTATGGCTTACATTTATTTCTCTCGTGAGTTTGGGTGTAATTTGTGGTTGTCTATGTGTGTGTCCATGGCATCCGCGACACAGGGTTTCCGTAGTGCGGGGCTATGTTGAGTGTGTGCGTTATTTATTTAAAAAAAAATTACTATTATATACATTTTCAGGAAAAGACAACTTCGAGGTCCTTTTCAAAAATCCAATACCGGTCCAAAGGTACAAAAATACAAATAAAAAAATATCGACTCTTCATACGATAGCATCATGCAATTGTATGAAGCGTCGATATTTTTTGGCATATTTCAAAAATCTACAAAAAAAAAGGTAAAAATATATACTTTTTTATTAAGTAATGGTAGTACGCACTATTCTCAACCACATTAAAAGCGCCATAACATTTCGGATAATAACACAATAAGGTTATATAACAGAACTAGAGCATGAGTCAGTTTAATGGAATAGAAATGGCGGTGGTATTAAGCAGTGATTCATTCACCTCACGTCCGCGACTCGAGACTCGTAAGTGTGGATCGTAAACTAAATGATTTCAAATGTACACAAAGAAAGTTTATTCACAATGTTGTCGTTCTTATGTATATGCAATATATAAGATACCTTGCCTCAGAAACGACAAATCAGTTGATGATGATGAACATTTTCTATGGAACAGGTTTCAAGTCGTGATTCGAATACAAAAGATGAAAAAACCCATATTAATTAATACTTTCAACTCTCAAAACAGCTGACACTGAAGTAGCACCTGATATATGTTTCATACGTCGGTATCAGGTGTAACTATTAAATACTAGCGTGTAAATGATTTTAGTACTCAGAGCACGTTTTAGTTTGACTATAAACATATAGACCAAAAATAGGGCAGGGAAAGGTTGCGACATTTAGCTACACAGAGCATATTAGTGTATTTTTATTTATATAATTAGACAAAAGGTCGTTTTATAACTATCTACACACTATAAAGTGCATTTCTTGATGATGTCTTCACTGTAATAATATGATGGTAATATTACGACAACTAATAGTATAAAATAGGTAAATGAAAATCCGTTGAGAACAGAAGGAGTTGACGGGGAAAGGAAACTTGTGGCATTACTTCATTCAAACTTTATGGTAAACAACCGCACGTAATAACAATTGATTCTGTAAATAAATATTTTAATCTGTATTTAAACTGTTAAAACTATTGCGTGTTACTTTGAACAAAGTTGGCGTAGGAAATCTCAATAACCTTCTCAAAAGTACGAGTCCAAATAAATGGTCTTAGATAGTAAAATACATAATAAACAAAAGGAGTCTAGGCGTTTTCTTCAGTGCGTCAGTAAATTGTAGAAATCGCCGCAAAATTTTTGGACTCTCAACAATTTCTTCAATTTCTTCTATTGTCAATACCCAAAAATAGTGAAGGCTGATCAGAACACATGGAAGGCAACGAAATTACATAGTTAAAATTCGGTAAGTAATGGACTCCTGAATATGTTGTGAATATTTTTTTCTATAACATAGCTTCAAATATCGTTAATAACGCCACTGTTTCGTTATTCCACCAGCTGCGTCCGAGATTCATTAAAGAACCCAAATCCAATTCACAATTTCTTTTCCATCTTATCGTACAGTCAAGAGCACATGAAGCTTGACACTTTGGACCTCTCTTATAGCGTCATAGAGTCAAATTTAATTTTTACGAGTGGATTCAATTATTTGTATACGACGAAGTAAAACATATGCGGGAATTAAATATGGTTTCCTTGGGGAAAGTCATACCATATCCTGTGTGGATATAACACATAATGAAATTTCAAGTGTTTTTTTTTAAACCTGTGTATTCGTTGTTACAGAAAAAATCACAATAGATTCGTCACGAGTAAAGTTGTGTTACAATAGAAAGAGACAGTGGTACTTAATATGGATTTTAAGGCTTTCTTGGTTATTCACTAAATGATTATAACTAAAATCAGTTCCAATCCAATTTGAACAAAAGTGTACAAAGCTGTTTGGTTAAAATTCTAAAGCAATCACTCAATAAATCGAATAAGTAACACTTTCACATATATTTCGAAGATTTCGACTTGATATTTCATCACTTTTTCCAACAATATTCATTTGAATAGCATCGCAAAATCGTATTTGAAAAATGGTAGTCCAAAGATGAAGTTATTTTTCAACTATACAACTATAATTTGTCTAAGGTTGCATAGTGCTGTACGAAAAAACATTCGGTTCATTTAATTAAAGTTTTTGTAATCGATTAGGAAATGAATATTTCTATCGCAATCGAACGAGTATCTAAGTGTAAGGATTTGGAGAAGGATTTAAAATTAAATTTACGGAAATTTTAAATATGCTTATATAGGTTATGTAAGGAAAACCGCTAGTATGACTCAATTGAACAAATCGATTCATTTAATTAATTAATCGACTAGTAGTTGGCATTACGAGTACAATTGGCCACCACTAAACCGTCTATGGTCGGGTCAGTGACTTGTTTGTTTACTTTTTGTTCAAAATAGATTGAAACAAGGTATAATTACAGATTCTTATCACGGTATGAGTTCTTTTTGTTTTCGAAACATCGAGAAAACCAAACGAACAATACCGTGGTAAGAAACCAGTAATTCCGAATAATTATTTAGTGGTACTTAATGTTCGAGTTTGTTTAATCAATATAGTTTTACGAGTTATCCCTTAGTTTAATTAATATGTATTTATTTATTGCATATTATATTGCACATTTGTAATTGTAAGTAAGTAATAAATACATACGTCGCAAAATAAAGTACAAGATGACGCCTCTTAAGTGCACATATTAGCGGAGAGTCGCACGCTGTTACATTGTAAGTACTTATAAAAATATTATATTTAATATATTGATATAGTTATTATAAAATTTAATAAAGTTCTTACCAGTGATCACAAAGTATTTAAAATTAGTCTGTTATAATAATAATAATAATTTATTTATTTTGGGAGTAGCAAATAAACTATGTTAGTAAATTATTTTAAACAAAGATCGCGTAAATTCCATGAGGTTCCTTATGGGATGTCCCTCCTCTTTCTCAGCAATCATTTTCTGATGCTACTGTTACGAAGTCTGTTTAAAAGAGAAGCTATTTTTTCCGTAGTATGGTAGAAAAGGAGTCTGTCCGCACTTCCGCAAACATTGCAGACGCACTACAGAACTTCGGCAGCCGCAACAGCATCCTAAAAGCATTGTTGTATTTGGTGCGGAGAGCAATGTACGGCTTTTGTGTATGTCGGTACCACAGGCTACCCGCGTAAAAAGAAGAACAGTAAGCCTTGAAAAAAGTTATCTTAGCTGCAGCGGAGCGTCGAGCAAACCTGTGAACCAACATATTAGCCCTTACTGACAAAGCTCTACGCTCCCTCTCCATGTCATCATCGTCTCTGAGATCAGGCTTAATTAAATCTAATTCTAAATCTATATCTCATTAGTCTATATGATATCAGTAGGGCTAGCACGATAGGGCGCGACTTGCGCGAAAGCGAAATAAAGCGCGAGATACGAGAGAGGTTTTTCTCGCATAGACATCTCGCGCTAGTCGCACCCAATCGTGTTAGCCCTACAAGCAGTAACATACATAGTAATTGTCCGCTTTCGCACAAATGGAGATGACTTACAATTTTGAAGCAAAAATGTTATTTACATAATTCGATTCAAAATTTCATGTTCTACGCTTTGGAAAGTAAATAATTAATTTTGATTAAAATTGTAAGTTACGTCTATTTGTGTTATATAAGAGATCAAATGGCACTTGTAAGTCTTACCTGATAGGGTTGCAAACTGGCGTAGTCGAGAAACTGAAGGTGCTGGTCGTGAAGGAACTCGACCGGTTGCGCGTCCGCCTGCAGCGTCACGTCAGCTGCCAGCGGCGTAAACGTCTGGGGAATTGAAAGGAGCTGATAATCTTCTGTAAACTTAATTCCCGTCGTGTTAATGTTGCGTGACGTAAAAAACAATCCTTAGGTTCTGCTAACAGAACTTTAGTTACAGTGAACATTACGAACTCACAATTTTCAATTCCATCCATTGACGGAATTGTACTACAACACGTACAAAGGGAGTAAAGCAATAAGTACAACTCTAAAGTAATAATTATAACTTTTTTTATTGAATAAAAAACCGACCTCAAAAGTCCGTGAAATTATATAAATTTGCCATGTTTTATTGAAATCGGCTACCGGAAATGCGCGAAAGTAGATTCTTCCCCTAGTTTGCCACTGTTAGAACTGGAATATTTTCTTCAAATTTAAATGGGACCAACGCTAAGATACCTGACAATGCACTCCATCAGCAATTGTCATGATGGAGCGCATTGTCGGTCATAGACACCGGACAGTCTTTCCAACAGAAAAAGAATCATTAAAATCGGGTTCAGAAATAATCGCTTAACATAGACATAAAAAACGAAATGTCGTATTGAGAACCTCTTGCTTTTTAAACTTGGTTAAGAATAAGAAAAATAATAATAGATTGTAAAACCTGAGTTCTTTCTGTCAAATTCGAGTGATAAATCCGCCATTTTCAAATTTTATCACAATAGGTAACATAACGAGCAGCGTGAGATCACATTTTTGTGGCATCGCGAGCGCCTCAACCAATGGCTGCAAAAGAATATCGCAGTGCCAAACATGCCCGCAAAGTCACAGCTGATTTAAAAAAAAGATTTTGACAGTTCGGCACTGTAATTTTATAATAAACGAGATAAAAAGAAATAATAAAAACCAACAAATTGATACATATAAATTATTGGAAAAAAGTGAGGAGTACAATTTTTAATACAATTCAATACATGAGAGTAATTAGAAATACGTAAATAACAACGATATAATGTAAAAACTGAAATTACAAAAAATCCATTTCTTGTTTCGTCGTTTTGCCGGCAATGATTAAACGACAAAGATAGCAACATGTACTTATAACAATAGTTGATTACCAAATAAACAAAAGAATGAATGACTCTAGTGCGGCAACTTACCGATTCAGTATTCGCAATAAAAAAAATTAATAATGGCAACATAGCTTCTTTATCAAATCAACTAAAATAAACTATGTCACGAGGTTTATCATGCATTGTTGTGATATACTGCCACAAATATCGTAATAGCTCAATTTCGCTAAAAAAGTCGATTACGTTAGTAATGATAAAGAGGGCTGAAATCTAGAAAAGTTAACTTCTCAAATTGGTTCTACCGGGGATCGAACCCTGGATCTCCTTCTCTAGCGCCCACAGAACAAGCCGTTGGGTCACGGACATCATCTGATGGCTTCAAAAATTGTGTAAGATTGATAAATAATTCATGCTTTCAAAGCCCTTTTTATTACTAATTACACAAATTCAACAACGAACAAAAACAGAAGCAAGCTAACGTCAAATCATAGTACAATAAAAAGTAAAAATACTTATAAGTTTGCAACATCGTTAATAACATTAAAAACTCGGAGCAACCAAGTAAAATTCCTAGGGTATAATACCTCTAACAAACTGTTTACTAGGAACGTAATAAACGACTATTACGGTTTCCTTCGACCGCCCACGTTAGGTTTAGAATAAGAAATGCGTGGGATCTAGTCTAGACTTCATAATATACATTGAAAGATAAATATATATTACCATTTAAATTGTGCCATAGGAATCGGAACTAACGAGAATTATTTGACTTTATATCTGTACCTGATATTTGATACTAGTCAACTGACTGAAAATATACCTTTTTTATAAAAAATAAACCGACCTCATAAGTTTGTGGAATTACATCTATTTGCCAAGTTTTATTGAAATCGGTTAAGCGGAAAGTATTCATCCTCTAATTTGCCACCCTTCCAGGTGGAATATTCTCTTCAAATTTGAATGTGACCACTAACGAGCTAGCCCCTTTCTAACAATAAAAGATAATATAAATCGGTTCACAAATATCGAAGTAATCACGTAACACAGACAAAAAAGTTTAAAGTAACAAAAAAAGTTAGTAGCAGTAGAACTCCTTGCGAAAGAGTTCGTCCAGGGCAGTACTGCCACCTTACCTATTTCTGTCGCCAAGCAGTAATATCAGCATTACTGTGTTCCGGTTTTGAAGGGTAAGGGTGCTGGTGAAATTACAGGCACATGGGACTTGTCAACTTAACAAGGTAGGTAAGGTGGCAGAAGTCCCTGGACGAATTATTTCACACGGAGCTTATCTGCTGCTAAAACTCAATTTAGTCTTCAAATCAAATGTATTTTTATTAAAATAAAACTTGACAGTATTATCACTTAAATTGTATGTAGAAAGTTACAGATAATTAGTAGACTAAGCCGTCGACGCGCCATCGATTTGCCATTGAAGAGCAAAATATCAAAAAGTTGCAATTACAGTGGAATTAGCTCGATGGGTAGATATTACTCTTCACTTTTAGCAGAATATTGACCATACATAACAGAACGAAAGAAGAAAAGAAGATCCATACAGAACATACATGACACTCTATCTACACACAAAGACTTGAAAACCCTGTCTGTAGTTTTAAATAAAACTGAATCGAAAAATATATATTTGCTACTACGGTTGGCTGGAAGCTTTTTTTATAACATCAAGTGACGGAACGAACAGGTTGTGCGCCTGATGGTAATCTACACGCCTGTCCATAACAGTTACAGTGCCACTCGGAGCTTTAAATTGCAGAAATCTGAGTGACACTACCACTGCGCTCGTCACTCTGAGACATAACTTGACAAGTCTAATGTGCCTATTATTTCACCAGCACCCTTAACCTTCAAAACCGGAACACAGTAATGCTGACATCACTGGTTGGCGTCAGAAATAGGTAAAGTGGCAGTACTACCCTGGACGAACTCTTTTCCAAAGAGCTCTACTACTACTAGCTGTCCCATCTACTAGACCCACATCCAGTCACTCAATAGGACACCTATTGGAAGATTAAGCAGTATCAATTTCACAAAATCGATTACCCTAATATGAAATGAGCTAATATGTGGTTTAATATTAAGTCTCGAACTAAGTTACACGTGTATACAAGTTTTAATTGGATTTACCGACTTAATGTTTGAAAATTACTAAACGTATATGAACCTTATGTGTGTGTTGCTTCTCATCGTAACATTATGTTTCTCCGAATATTATATAGAATATTACATGTTATGTTACAGTTTGTTGACGTTGTTTGTAAAACTCAACAAAGAACAAAATTATAATAGCCTTGTTTTATCAAAACGTAACTAGTGTTTACTGTACAGTTACGTGCTTTAACGTGTAACCACATAGCAAAAATACAATGAACAATGTTTGAACACATTGAACATTTGCTAACTTCGTTTTAACTTAATGATACCACTGAACACTTCTTATACTCGTAATTGTACCTGACTGTACAAATGAAATACATCTTTACTACAAGTATAATATCACTTGCGCTCGGCACGTCTTCTCTGAGTATATTGGCGGGACTATTTACAGCGAAGGCTTTTTTTTAAATAGGTATTATTTTTTAATTGAGATGTATTTCTTAAAGATTCCATCACTAGCCAATTCGGAAACGATGTGTATGATTACTTTGCGATTTGAAGCTCTGAGTGGCACTGTAAATGCTATGGGCAGGCGTGTCGCTTACCACGACTTGTTCATCACGTCACTTAGCATTATAAAAAAAAATCAGCGGGAAAGTAAAAATTTTAACGAGTACCATAGTCGGTCACATTATCTGACATTGTGGCCAAGCGTGAGTCAATTTTTCATTGAAAAAACTTACCATTGGTATCGCGAAATCGAGTGACAAGATATAATATAGGCCTGATGGTAAGTAAATAGGTAGACGAGTACATATATTACACGGATGGTATACGGAGATATCTGTTCAATTTGGCCTCAAAAATTTTCAGGATATTGGTACTTGCCGCACGGGATATGAAGAACAACTAATTATTTATTTACCCACTATCAGACGGCATTATTTTTTTGTACGCCGCCGATCTGACCGAATACGGTTAGTATAAAAAAAATCTGTTTCCGTAACGCCTAACTAAGCAGCAACAGTGATTTAAAAAAAATAGTTCATTACGTTTTTGCAGTGGGTTTCATAATTGGTTTTATAGAGTTACAACAATAAGTACGTTTTTTTTTTTATTTATTATGCCACGCTTTAATTTAAATTTAAAAAATTGCCGCTTTTCTGATAAATGCTGCGTTAAAGTAAATAACTAATTGAGGATATCAGCGCAAAAGTGATGTCACTCACATTCAATTTTTATTCTACAATATTACTTTAAAGTGATACTAAAGTACATTCAATTAATTATTTTCTATTTGGATGTTTATTTCACATATGTGTTCCGGTTTTGAAAGGTTAAGGGTGCTGGTGAAATTACAGGCATGGGACTTGTCAACTTATGTATGAGGGTGACGAGCGCAGTGGTAGTGCCCCTCAGATCTTTGCAATTTAAAGCTCTGAGTGGCACTGTAACTGTTATGGACAGGCGTGTAGCTTACCATCAGGCGCATGACTTGTTCGTCCCGTCACTTGAAGTTAAAAAAAAATATAAAAAGTATTTATATATTAATTGTTTTTACACATGTGATTGTATCCAAACATAAAAAAATGTGGGTTACACCACTGTTGCGCTGATAGCTTCAATTAATAGTCTAATCAAAATCGGACCTTGCCGGTGACCGCAGAATTACTACAACTCTTACCACATTTTATTTTGAATACCAAAGCCCAAAAAATTTAAAACACATTTCCCCAAATTATATTACAAATTTTAAAACCAATAATTTAAAAACAACAGTATTAAATAAATAACCAATGTAAAGTTAATTAGTATGTACAAAGGATTCTTAACGAAAATCAGATGAATCTTGGTTCCTGGAACCCTTACAAAATAAGA